TCCATATATATATATATATATATATATATATATATATATATATATATATATATATATATATATATATATATATATATATACAAAAATCCACACAATAACAAGCACAAACCCACATTTTAATACGATAGCTCCACCTGTATTCCCGAGCATAACACCAATAAACAATACATTGAGATTACCAATGCCAATCTGCTTTTATTTACATTCAAATACTTCATTACATGAAGCCCACAACGAGTTCAGTTTAGAGAGTTATCCGTATAACAGATTTATCATTAACCAACATTTACGTATGAACTCGCTGTTTTAGATAAATAAACATATAAATATTTACTTTATGATGATATGATGTGCTGACTGTTGCAAAAACGCTCTGGTTGAGTACTTTTAAAAAGCTCTTGCTGCAATGGACTGCCCATTAGTGAGATTTCCATCTGAATTTTATATGTTATTTGGTTTCAAAAGTGTTAGTGGGGCTCTATTGTTGTTTAATATTTATTCCGAATTAAGTAGCTGTCGAACCTAATTCAATACGATATATACACAAATAAATAAATATCGTATATAATATATATTTGGGTATCAGTCTTATAGATGAATATATAATTGAAAATGACTGACAGTGTGAGATAAATGATGCCAGTATGAATCTTTTCTATGTTATATTTTTCTTGACTTGAAATAGAAGTAGAAAAATTAATTCGCCAAAGTTCACTTTAAATTTTTATTGTGGCCTGACTCTACGAGATATGTTTCATTGACTTGTGTCAACATCATCAATGGCAGAGTTCACAAATTTTGTGTTGATGGATATACAGCCAGGGATGAGGTGAAGGTGAAACGCCTCATCTATGGGCCAAGGTAAAGCTCATTGTAGCCCACCAGATCTTCTATATTTCTATGATGGGCCTGGTAATATATTTTATGTTTTATTGTTGTTGTAATGAATAATGCCTCATTAATGTTCAATCTTTTATTGTGGCTATATATGTCGATTATTTTGGTGCTGTGTTTGAGACTATCTCTGGTGATGATCAGGCTATGTGTAAAAACTTTATCTAGTTATATGTAGAAAATTCTCTACATGTAACCAGAGATTGGCGAGGATTTATACATTAAGATAACGAAGTAACTAACACCAAATTACACACACACACTCTGCTATCTTGGAGAACACGACGAAATATACAATATCATGCCAATCCCCATCATGATAACACTGTAGATTGGTTATCTGCAATGAGTCTATTGGCTCATTAGTGAGGTGCTTCCCCTTCACTTCATCCCTGGCTGTATGCACAAAATTTTGTCAGCTCAACATTTGTAACCTGGAATGCCAGGGTTGAGGGGGGTTACGGGCTATTCATGCCCGTGCCACTTCTTGGGTGGCTTAATCTTCATCCATCATCAATCATTTGTAACCATTTGAACTCTGCCTTTAATAACGCAAAGGTCAACGAAACGCATCTCTTAGGTGTCAGGACAGAATAAAATTGTAAAATAAACTTTAGAAAGAGAACTTTTCAACTTCCTTCGCAAGTGAAAAACCCAGAGGTTTCGTAAGTAGTTGTGTAAATTCTTGATAAATCTTGTCACTGGTGTTTTGCTCCTATTCTCAAGCTGTGTTGGTCATTCATGTTTCACGTCCATAAAATGCTTTGATTCTTAGATGTGATTTTTAGCTTCCTACCCTTGTCTGTTCCGCATTATTGGAATTTCTAGAGCAGTCCTAATATCGATTTTCGGCCAGATCGTGATGTCTGCTCATGTTTTTATTACAACTGTTACCTCTGTTCACCTAGCAGGGAATATAGGTGAGTTAGCAGACTGTTGTTCTAAGCAGCATCTAAGGGAAAGGTCAGTCGTTGGCAATGGGTTTCCTGTGCTCGATAATGCGAAACCACTCTTTTCAACATCATTCAGAGAATGCTTATCCTTGATGCTCCAAACTGTTTGAATATGGTGTGTGTGTGAATATGATTACTATTTGTACCGTCAGGTGTGATCTATCAGCTTTTGGGCCACGTCTTTCCAACCTTCGATTGTCCAATATTCTCCCAAACATTACCATTTAATGTTTATAACATTACATCTAATGTTTTACCATTTTACTGCTCGGTCTACAGAGGCCTCATATGAGAGAAACTCTGCCCATTTGTTTCTGCCTGGGAATCCAACCCCCAGGCCTTTTGGACTTCGATTCCCAAGCCTGGGAAGAAGCTGTGTGTGTGTCAGTTCTGTCCCTAGGGGTGACGAACGCCCATCCCACCAATATCGCGACAGTTCTCCACCTAATGCTTATTGCCCCGTCCTCCTCTCAGTCCGGAGTGGCCAATATACACGAACCAGTTATCAGAGCCTTGGATCTTGGGGCCCTCCTGATATTGATCAGTCCTGCTACAGCTGCAATAATTGTATAGATGTCGATATGGCATTTGCAAAAGGTGATGGCAAAGGGGAAGAGTAATTGAAGTGGGAGAAGCACAGTGATGTATATATGTATGAATGTACTCACCTAGTTGTACTTGCAGGGGTTGAGCTTCGGGTTTTTGGTCCCGCCTCTCATCTGTCAATCAGCTGATGTATAGATGCCTGAGCCTATTGGGCTCTATCATGTCTACTTTTGAAACTGTGTATGGAGTCAGCCTCCGCCACATCACTTCCTAATGCATTCCATTTCTTAACTACTCTGATATTAAAAAGTTTTTTTCTAATGTCAATGTGGTTCATCTGAATACACAGTTTCCACCTGTGTTCTGTTGTGCGAGTACCACCCGTGTTAAATAAGCCGTCTTTATTTACCTTATCAATTACTCTGAGAATCTTGTATATATATATATATATATATATATATATATATATATATATATATATATATATATATATATATATATATATATATATATATATATATATATATATGTATATATATATATATATATATATATATATATATATATATATATATATATATATATATATATATATATATATATTTAAATCACCACTGATTTACATCTAGCGTAAGTGCATGATCTAAGAACTAGGCTTTTTCAATATCTATTAATCTGCATTTCATAGTAAGGAATGCATGTTCATTTTTTTTATTTAGACGACAAAAACCTTCACAAGACTGTCCATCTGTCTTTACTTTAGCTTCGACTAATCTGTCTCACCACTGCCATAAAACTCATTTTCAAACCAATCACACACTGAGCTAAATGAGCCAGATTTGAATCTGTGCCCAAGCAAACGCCTTAGACCAATACTCTACAACATGCAAACCATGCAACCTGGAATTCCATTGAATCCTCTAGGGTTCCTGAGGCTTCCACTGAAACCTAAGCAAGGTTCCACACTTTGCTTTCCCCCCCTCCATCCCAATGCAGTCTAGCTTGTAGTCTTGGGACTTGGAACATAGCATTGTTCTCCTCAAATGCTAAAAGAACATTTTGTGCACACTTTGAGATATTTGCTCATATTTTTTTGATAATTAGCTTACAAAGTAAATACAACCAATCTCTCACAACATTTTGGGACTTAAAGTAATAGATATATTTCGATACCAGTAAAAGCACAAGTATTTATTGAGATTAACAAATCCCTACACTTCATGCAAGTACATACAATGCTTACCTTCTTTTGTTTGCATAACGTGCCTTTTCATACGAACAAAAACAAACATTTATCTTTGCAAGATATCAAGTTTTTCCTTTCCTGGTATGTTTAATATAATTCATCATAAGCGAGAAAGCAAACAATAAACTTTATAAGGCAACTTGGTATCCATAAACTAGCTTTATTCCAATGAATTTTGAAGTTTTTCGCCCTGTTAATTATACAGATGTATACTGTGCTTCATATGTATCGCTGATGATGTATCTGTGGTGTATCCCACTCGTCAGTTTAATAATACATTCTAATTCAGTTAAATAGCCAGTATATCTATTGTATCCAATGATGTATCCAACGTCCCAATAATTTATCCTTAAATTATATGAACAAAAATCTTTGTTTCATTGCCCAAGGTCATTATATTCTCTACAGTTGTCATAGGCAATAGCTCTTCATGTGTATGTATATGTATTTTGTGTCTTCAGTTATGTCATCTTCATTACATTCACACATTTTGGTTAATTTATCCATTGATTTTCCATTGAAATGTTTCGAGGTGAGAATGTGTTTGTATGCGTGTTTGTGTATTGTATGTTTTATGTATTATTTGTTCTTTTTCATGTTTATTTTCCTCTGTATATGCAAATAAAGTCTTGCATTAGATCACGATCAACAGCATTACCTTTGTAATCATCATACAGATGTCAACACCTCTGTAGACAATTGCATTTTTTTGTTTACAACGATTCACTATCGTAATGGTTTAATTTCATTATTACGACAAGTGGCACTTTAGCTTTTCCAAGTGCTACTAGCACTCCCCACCATCATTCACATCACCACAATCTCGCATTATCACACTCAACAATCCATCAATCCCACTACCATCAACCCACATCCTGTCACACACTCTCTTGACAATAATCACATCAACTTCTAACATTATCCCCAAGATCTACTATCACCACAATCACTACCAGAGCAACTTTCACCACCACCAGTACCACCATAACCACCACTAAAACTACCACTATCCCCGTTGATATAGCCACTACCACCAGTGCCATTATCACCATCCCACTTCATTCCCTTATGAACACAACTATTTCTGCCACTACCCTACCACTTCCCGTCACTCCCTACTACTTTCCCCTCCTTTAGTGTCACTATCACCATCAACATTACTACTACCACCTTCATCAGTTCCATAACCTCCACCACCCTTACCCACTACCAGACCACCATTATAACAACTACCACTACCCCCACATAACATCTACCATACCCCCACCACAACCCCCAACACAGCTACCACTACCCCCACCAATCTACCAAAGCCTCCCCACATCAACCACAACCCCCCACCACATCTTTCGCCCTCACAGATGTGCCCCATGTGAACCTGAGTTTGGCTGAAGACACAGACATGGAAGACATTAGCGAAGGAGACAACGTGACCTTCGTATGTAAAGTCAAGGCCAACCCCACTGTCTCCAAGATCAGCTGGTACCATAGGGTAAGTGACCAACCCCCTTCGTTATATCTGCCTCCCAAAAGACACACTACGAAATGACAATTAAAATAACATTGAAGTTACGAGATGTGTGTGTGTCTGGTGGGATATATATATATATATATATATATATATATATATATATATATATACATATATATATATATATATATATATATATATATATATATATATATATATATATATATATATATATATATATATATATATATATATATATATATATCAGGAGTATGAGGAGGGAGAATCATAATGCTGGAGCCTTTTTAATCCATTATCAGCACTTTGTGCCTTTTGAAATCTATTAACATATAAATTATGAAGTTATATATATCGTGATATGATGTATTTCTCTTATTTTTGTTCTACCTGCATATTTCATGTGTTTACATGTGTACTAGAAAAGCATAAATTGTGCATTTAATTGGTTGTGTTGTCTGCATTTCTTTTACCTGGGTAAGTCTCAATATCTTCAGATGCGAGAGACTAACGCTGTGTCGTAGAGGATTATATCACAGAGACGGATAACATGGTAATTATATATAGAACTACGGGCTCGCCATAGCCCGTGCTACCTGGAACTTTTTGTTCCAGGTAGCGAATCTTAAACAACAACAACAACAACTTGTAACATGGTCAAACAAAACTGGTCTATAATGGGTTTCCATTATAGGCTCATGCATGATGGGTTTTTATACCTTTGATAAATCGTTAACTCCAATTTTAAATTGGGTTTATTTCAAACATCACCAAATGAACAATTAAAGGCGATTATGAACCGATATGTATGTATATATATTTTTTTTCGGGATTAAGCTACATTTTGCATGATAGTTTATTAGTAAAAAGTTGAATAACCGATATTTTAGATTAACTTAGAATTTTGTTCAGTATTTGTCTTACCGTTAGAGGTGGCCTAGGATCAATATCACGCAAAGAAAGTTTCGAGTTGGGAAAATCGAGTGAAAGTTGCTTTCATTCTTCCGGTAAATGTGTCACGTGTTTTGTAAGTAGTGATAATGTTTGTCGCTTTTTTATTTATATTTGTAGATATGACTGAGGGTACACTAATATATATATATATATATATATATATATATATATATATATATATATATATATATATATATATATATATATATATATATATTTATATATATAAATATATATAAATATTTATATATATATATAATAAATATATATATATATATAAATAATATATAAATATATATATATATATATATATATATATATATATATATATATATATATATATATATATATATATATATATATATATAAATATATATATATATAAAAATATAAATATATATTATAAATATATAAATATATTTAATATATAAATATATATATATATATATAAATATTTATATATATATATATTTATATATTAAAATTATTACGAAACTCACATTTCTCGTCAATTTCTTCCAAGCTTTAATGTGTATCCATATTCCCCTTTCTCTCTTTTTTTGGGGGGTTACATCTCTTTCACTTCATTCACCTACCCTCTTCCTTCACTCCCGCCTCATTTCTTTCATTCCCACCCCCTTCATTCGTCAGTTATTAGCCAGGACGAATCGCTTAGTAAAAAACACTTTTAGTTAAAGATGTTTCATGCTGCTCCGGATCACACTTGACAGAGGTCCCCAGGGCAGGTCACACAAGTGCCCTAGGAAAGGAGGTGCCCTGAGTGAGAGGGGGGGGGGGGGGTCACAGCCCCACTAACGGTAATGTGTCGCGCCCTGAGCCGTGTTAACGACGCGTTAGCTGGTAATAACAGCCTGGTAACCAGGTGGCGAATAGCACCAGAGAGACACCAGCTGAATTCTAAAATTCCAATTAAGTGTCTAGTGAAGGTTGGAGACTTTTGTTTCACTCAGCACCAGTGAGTAGCGAGTCTGATTCCAACCCTCCACCCCGACCCTTTAACCCCCACCTTTGACATAATCCTCCCCCTAAACTCTTTGATTTATCCCCTTAACTCCTTCCTCATTTCGGGCCACGAACCCCATCTATAGAGAGCTAATGTTCGTCTACGCAAGCGCATTCGCGCACAAAGGAGTGTACACATACACACACACACACACACACACACACACACACACACACACACACACACACACACACGCACAAAACACACACACACACACACACACACACACACACACACACACACACACACACACACACACACACTGGTGGGACGCGAACAAGGGGACACAGGTGGAAACTGAGTACTCACATGAGCCACAGAGACGTTAGAAGGAACTTTTTTAGTGTCAGAGTAGTTAACGGATGGAATGCATTAGGCAGTGATGTGGTGGAGGCTGACTCCATACACAGTTTTAAATGTAGATATGATAGAGCCCAGTAGGCTCAGGAATCTGTACACCAGTTGATTGACAGTTGAGAGGCGGGACCAAAGAGCCAAAGCTCAACCCCCGCAAGCACAAATAGGTGAGTACAAATAGGTGAGTACACACACACACACACACACACACATACACACACACACACACACACACACACACACACACATACACACACACACACACACACACACACACGCACAAACACTAGAGCAAGGAGCTGTTCTTGAGCAAAAAGACGAGGTAGAGGTGAGTTAAAACAGGCAACACCATTGGAATTTGAGATTACCAGTCTAGAGGCAAGGAAGTATTTGCTGAACTGGACGTGACAATGGCTGTTGGTTCAGGTGGAATCTCATACCATGAAAACCTCAAGAGAGAACAGGAGCACTATGCCAGCCACTCTCCATGATAGATAACAAGTTCCTGGTAAAAGGAGAACTACCAAAAAGTTGGAAGACAGCTAATGTAAACCCGAAATACAAGGAGACACTGAACTACAGGCCAGTGTCCCTAAATTGCACATCATGCAAGGTGATGGAGATGATTATGAGACAAAAAACTAGTAGATCATTTAGAGAGAAAGAACTTGTAACACAATTCTATTATATTATATAAAATACATTACACATAACGGTTTTTCAGTTTCCAGTAAAATAAATTTCAGTGTTAATAGTTAAAATAAAATTTTCATAGTAATATCACACAACAATAAATTTTCAGTGTTAAAAGATAATATAATTTATCAGTGCTATCAATAATCAACAAAAATATTTAGTTTTATCATTTAAAATTTTTTACAATGTTAAAATCAAACATATAACTTAATTGGAATCGAACCAGTCATAATATGTGTTTCTACCAATCATTATATTACTAACACGCTCTCACTGCTTAAACTGTTAATTAATTAAGAATTCATAAATATAACACGAGATTAAAACTGAAATTACAAAACATTGATTACTGTAACATTACACTGGTAGAGCACTAGTCTCATGTTGTAATTAAATAAATGCCCTTTTTTATATATTGACTTTGCAAGCATTAATTTACTGCTACCCGAATGAACATCGAGGGGAAAAAAAATATGTGTGTTTAAATGTTTACCTGGGGCTGGTGGAGAGGAAAAAAAATCAACAGCAATGTATTTTTTGGGATCCATGAATGCCAACAACTTCTGTTCAGCTTTTGCAGAAGAATATTCAGTAAGCGTTCTAATAAAAAGAAGTTCCACCGGGCCTCAAAAATTGCTTCAACTGACCTCTCATCAAAACGGCGGAGTGCTGCATGGCAGACCTTATTGTCATGCATATGAACGCGTCGCTATTTAATGAAAGCGAGGTTCTCTGGACTCTAATAAAATGCACCCCGACATATTTTATGGCCGCCGGTGATATATCGTCACGATTTATTCACCAACCTCGGATTCCACGCTTCATTTCCTGCCTCAAGTGGATGAGTAAGTCCTCAGATTACTCGTGTTTCACTTGATTGCTAATGAGCGGGAATAGGTAGGATGGATTGATGAAGAGAACTCTGCTTCTCTCACTTTTTTTCACTTTCTCCTCAAGCTTCTCATCATTATCCACTTTTTAATGTAATGAAAACAAGCACTGTTCACATTTGATCTTGCTTTATCTTACTTTCTCAAAAGCTTTCTCTTATTTCCTCACACTTTCTTTCACTTCCCAATACTTTCACGAACCTTCCTCACATTTACTTACCAAGAAACTCTCTCTCACATTCCTAAAATTTCTTTCACTCTTTTCCATTGAACTTTATTTAGCTTTCTCACACTCTCTTCTCCGAACATTCTCACACTTTCGTTACTATCTAACTTTTAAACATTTTCTCTCACTTTCACATTCCAATACTCCCTCTTCTCATAACCCAAACTCTACTTTATTTACCTTTGATTCTTATTGATTCTTAATGATTAAATTAATTCTTATTCTTAATTAATTCTTTATTCTTAAACTTCCGATGTTATATAAGATCGTATTTGATTTTTAAGTATCCGGATCATAAGTGGTTAGGTTCTCAGTGACGGCCTTAATAACCAATTAGAAGTCCATAGGCCTTAAGCCTAAGCCCAAAACCAAACACAATGCCATTTGCAAGTTCTCATTATTAAATTAAAATGTATAAATGACTTCACAAATAAATTTTTTTCGTCTTTTAAATAAGATAATTAAAATTTAATAAAGGCTATAAGAATATCTTAGCTGCACAGTGAAGTATCTAGATAAATGTTTTATTTATTGTTAAGGAATATTGAAAAAAAATAAATCCTGGTGTAAATATACAAGCAGAAAAAAGTAGTATTAAACGAGCGATATGTTTTGATGTTAGTCATAATTTTTATGTAATTTTTCAAAGTATTTTGGTTCGGTAGTTGCACGTGTTCGTCTGTTTCAAAATGGCTCATGTAAACATTATGAAACTTCATGTGCATTCATAAACTTCATCTAAGTTTCGTCCATGTGAAGCTTTTGAATCGAATTTAATTTTAGTTTTGAGAGATATTGGCTCATTTCCACCAAATTTTCTATTTAATTTTTCAAAACTGGTAATTTTTCACAGCTA